GGAGAGAGGGAATGTGAGAAATTGCACCCCCACCTCGGGCCGCATGGTCACACAGCAATCCCTCCTTCTCCAGTCTCCTTTTGGGATTTGGGGCCCTACCGGTGGCGTCTCCTTACCTCCACTGACCCACAGAGTGTGGTCTTTCCCCTGCATAACAAGAACCATGATACATCAAAATGTTTTTTATTTGAGACACAAAAATGCAAAATCGCTGAGATATCAAACATTTCCCGATCAGCTACAATACTGCCACTATGTACAAAAGATCTGATGATAATTGTGCACACATATAAAAATACAGTATGCATCACCTATGTACAGTACATGTGCAAAGTGTATGGCATCCAAACATGATACGGAATTGATTTCAGGGGTGCAAACAGCAAATACAAAGGCATCATGGTTTGTTTTTTTGTATTTTTTTTTTTTTAAAAACAACATAAAGGCAATACATGAATGGACCCCCCCGATTGCCATAATTTTATTTTTTTTTATTAAACTAGTGCTTCAACAAACAGGGCTCTGTAGATTGGTATCTTTCTCTCCTTTTTTTCATAAAGTGAGATGCTAAGACATAATGTGACCATGAAAAGAAGAGGAGAAATACCTATCACATTGCATTTCTATTGCAAGCAAGAAAAAAAGACAACTATTTTCTACATAGAGAGGAAAAGAATTTGTATTTCTACTGAATAGGCATTCTTAAACCAAAACAAGTCTATGCTATTTTACATGAAAACCATAGAGAATTATCTACATCTTTGTGAAAATTATAACCTTAAATGGATAATACCTTTTTGGGACTGAATTTGAGATCTCATTAGTCTCAAAGTTTAAATACAAAGTGCCTCCTTTTGGCAAATACTTGGCAATGCCTTTGGTTCCTTTAATGCGAGTTTGCAGTACTCCTGGTTACGTGAGGTCAAGTACTTTGGGAGAGACTAACCCTTTCCTAACCACTCCCTCTTCCTACTGATTAGCACGGTCTTATAGCACAATGTAGAGGTCATTGTTACGGTGACCCTACGACGGTTAAAGCTTTGCTTGGTAGTTGGCATGAAGCTCTGGTTAAGCGCTACAGATGGGTTGATACCGCCAATTGCGTATTTCACGTGATTCCAGACAGCACCTTGTAGATTTGAGATTGCCATCCTATTGTCACAGAGTCGTGACGTTTTCCAAGAACGACGTGCAGAGCGATGTGTGTGTGTGGAGAACAGCTCTTCTGTAAACATGTGCAGCTTTTCAAATGCCAGGCCTTCAATACAAGATTTCAGGTAGAAAGCCTTTGCAATGGTGTATTTCCTCAGGTACTGCAAGAAAGGGTGAGTGGGGGAAAACGGATCTGCTCATGGCCATGCAGAATCCTTTTACAAATAAAAACGTAGCCCAGAAAGATTGCTGAATGAGCAAGTTGTTGAAGGTTTGAACCAGGGAAAAAATGACTACATCCTAATGATTACTTTCCAGTTTTGACTGAAGTCACTTAGAAGATGAGCTGAAATGCAGTTAGGATGCTCTCCAAATACACATTTATACATTTGTAAGCAGTGTTCTTTGATAACCTGACCTTCCAGTTAACATACTTTGATAAAGTGGGCTCATCTGTGGCCTCCAGGGTGTGGGACAGTTCCCAGTGGGTACCCTCTGCTGCCAGTATTCAGCCTTTGTGTTACCGAGTGGACAGCGAGAAGGGACCAGTGACTTGTGAACCTGGTCAGACTGGCCTGTGCTGGTCTGCTGGAAGACATGGAACAGCTATTCTCCTTAACTTCCCAAAGGGGC